GTGTGTGTGTGTGTGTGTGTGTGTGTGTGTGTGTGTGTGTGTGTGTGTGAGGTCTCAGATAAAAGACGGAAAGATAAAACATAACAGCAATAAACATGAAAGAGAGGAAATTAAAGACAGTGACGTTGTCGTTTGAATGGCGGTCTCTATTTGTGTATTGTTACCTGGGAGTTTGTGTGTGTGTGTGTGTGTGTGTGTGTGTGTGTGTGTGTGTGTGTGTGTTTTAGGCTGCTGCATTTTTAGTTGAGTTGATGCAATTTTGTTCTTGCAAACCCTGCAGCGGTGAGGCTGATTTCGCTCGGCCCTTCTTTTTCTCTCTACATCTCCTTTTAGTGTCTCGCTCCTTCTTTTATGTTGTATGATTTGTGACAAGCAGAGACCTAGAATTTAAGATTTCTGCTTTGTTGTATCCTCGCACATGTCATCAAGCCGGATATATTTTAAGCGCGTGTGTGTGTGTGTTCGTACACAGTCTGAGCTCAAGAGTGTGTTGTTGGTGCGTGCGTCTGCATTTGTGTTTTCTATTGCAGAGGGATTTAATGTTGTTGGCAGAAAAATAGAAAAAAAACATTTGATTGGCTGCCATTGTTGACATGTTCTGCTCAGATCCAATTACCTTGATAGATACACACTCACAGACGCAGAGACACAGACACATGCGCACACACACTGATGTCACACAACCCTTCAAGCAAAAATGAAGCCATTCATACAAGAAAGGGATTAACAACTACATTTTCAATATCTTCTAAGAATAAATACTTGCTCTATAATTGATGCCAAATATCAATTATATACATATACACTGTTTCAACCTTTATTGAGACTGGCTAGTGTGTTTAGACATGCTTCTTCATGTTGATGTGTGTATCTGTTGTTACAGAGCTAATGCACTTCTGACTCAGCCCTCCACGTACGCATTTCCACAATCAGTTTATGTTTCAGGAAAGTCTCGTCCAACTGCATTCCTCTCTTACAGCCTTGGTGGTTTGTTTATAATTATAATAAGTATACTAACCATAAAGTAATGATAATAACAAACTGTATTTGTATAGCACCTTTACAATAAGGGAAAATAGACCGATAATTAATATACAACAGTGATAGAATATAGAATGCCATAGCTGATGGAAAAATTAAATACATTTGCTAGAATAAGATAAAATCAAAAATATAAAAATAAGATGGAAGAGGAATAACCACTGAATAATAATGATAATAAAATCACTAACCATCACTATTCTCTTGTACTCTTTATTTATTTTTAATTTCAGAGGAGTTTGAGATATTATTTGAGATATTATTAAATATAAACTTTGAAAGTTTGACGTCTTGTGCACAATTTATTTTCGAAACCCAGGCTTCTCAGGCCAGAGGCAAACAACGACCGTAACAAAGTCTAGACCGACACAAGTTCCCTGCAGTCCTCCATTCCCCCGAGAAAGATAAATAGAAACCAATACTGTGTCTGTGATTTAGCTGCTGAACATTCAGCACTTGCAGCGCCACCTGCAGGAGCTGCTTGTTGTTTTTAGATTTAAATCTGTTTTTCTATGAATTTTCTTGATCAGGGAGGTCTAACAGGTTTGTTTGTGTGTGTGTGTGTGTGTGTGTGTGTGTGTGTGTGTGTGTGTGTGT